AGCCGTCAAAAGAGTAAAATCGAATCGATGTGATAGATGACAGCACCTCCATTGTCCAAAAGCTGGGTGTAATTAGTGCAGTGACCGGGGCGAAGCTATGAATTCGAACTATGGCGCGATTGGAATATTTATGTCTTCGACGTGATCATCATTGGGATACCTGTCGAGAGATTGACGCGCTATGTGAACTCGGCCTGAAACGTTGTTGCTTCGAAGTACTCGATCAGTAACCGTAGACGTCGTCGCCGAAGGAAACTCACTTTCGTTCCTGGAATGCCGATCGTGGCAACCTCCTAATGGCGATTATTTGCTTCTTCGGCGTTCGCTTTTGTTTCGAAATCGACGTGCTGAATACGAATGTCGCTTTAATTAAATAGGCGAAAGGGATATATAGATATATATTCGCCTGAAAGAACGTGATTCGAATTTTCTAATCAACTTTTATTTCTTTTATTTTAGTTAAGTTAATAAAGTTGCCTTTTTGTTGAGATTACCGTCTTAAACTCGGCCTTTACAAGTATTAGAATGTTCCCCTCAAAAGCATTCCTCCACTTAGAAACTAGAAGCAGAAGCGGCGCGTTCTCCTCCTTCTCGCCTCGAGCAACGTCTGGCTATGTCAAAAAACGTAAACGCCAGCTCAATCACGCTAAGAGTACCCGCGTGCCTTCGCCTTCAAGTTACAACCACCACCTGGATAATGCTAAAGAACTTTACTGTTGGCACGCAGAATCTCAGTGCCATATTGATGACGTCATCGTACCCAAAGGTCATTGTTTCGCACTTTTCAAGGACGATTTCATTTAATTTCAAAATATCACAATGAAATTTAAATAAATGTGATATGGAATACGTTCTATTAAAAAAAACATTATACATTTGATGTTATTCGTAAGGAAAACGAACGAAAGATCCTTTCACTGGGATCCCGAAGAAGAAGATGCGAAGAAGAGGGGCGCATCTGAATTTGACCCAGTGAAAAAACCGGACCGCCGAGTCGCCGGAGACGGCATTCCTCGGACCGCGCGTTCCCGCCCTTCCCCTCGACATCCCGCGAAGTCCGCGGTGTTTGCTGAAGAAGCGCCTCTGCAGACGTGCTAACTGGACCGGCCCCCGACCCGACAAGGACCGCAGAGAGCGCCCGAAAATTGATTTCGCACGTCGACGTTAATATGGCGTTGGTTGCCTGGGCCTGTTTGTCCCGTTTTCTTTTTTCTCTCTCTTTCTCATTTTAAACACAAACATGCATGAGTTATGTCAGTAAATATAGCAATGTTGGTAAAAAAAATGTGTGAAAATTCGGTTTTATGTAGCTATGTATTCAAGTTAGGTATGAGTGTTTAGCAAAACACCTTTTGCTCATTACTTAGTACTCATTAGTATTCCAGCATCGAATAACTATTAGCATAGATTAGATATAATTTGTACAAATTCTGAATCATCAATTCCTCATCCATTCAACACATGTCTTTGCATAATTTTCATTGTAATCACGTCAACACTTTGGCCTTTCTTTCTTTAATATTTATTTAATAAGTTCATCGAACTAAAATTTACATACATTAGAAGTTCGGGAAATATGACTCAGAAAAAAAATATCGGTATAAAAATAGTTGCAATTTTTATTCCAAACAACATTGCTCTGCTTAACTTTTGCTCCAAGATACAAATCAATGATGGTGGAAAAGACTAGTGATGTGTAGTATAAGAGCGATGAAGGCTATATTGATCCCAACGAGGACATTAATGAAGATGAAAGAACATAAAGAGCAATAACTTACCCGATCATATGATAGATGTGTATGCGATCATCGACTCGTTTATCACCTCTGTTTTGTACTCCTTTACTTTCAATCACTATGCAAATAGTGAACAATAGCAAATCTAATGTCTCATCGATTAATACCATAAATTAATTGTTTCATCTAAAACCGGGTTTTTATCCTGTCAATATCATAATATCAACGGCGAAAAAAATAAAGAACTTCGATACGTATCGAAAGGACCTTAAAACTTCAAGCCCATGCGCAGCCGTTATGGAACCAAATTAAAAAAAAGTTTCAGCAATTTGAAAAGAACACACTTTGAGCTATTGGATACCTATGCAAAGTTAGCCGTCATTTTTATAGCCCCCAATTAGATAGGATTGTAGAAGGTGTCCAAATTTCGATGGGTTTGCAGGGTATCTCAGTTATTATGAAAGATAGAAAGTTGCGGCTTTCGCGAACCTGAGCTACTTTTTTGTGAAACTTACAATGGCGCAAACCAAATTTTCATAGCCCTCTTCGTTTTTGATATACAGGGAGTGTTTGAAATTTACGACGATTTTCAGACTCGGCTATCCGGAAACTTAGAAAAAAAGTAAAAACGGGTTCTAATAGATTTTTTCACGTGGAATCCAATGGTGCACGTAGAATTTTTCCAGTCATCACGATTTTTGAGTTATAAACACAACTCAAATACTGAATACTCAACTTCTAAAATACTTAACTCTTTATAACTCAAAAACCGTGATGACTAGAAAAATTCTACGTGCACCATTGGATTCTACGTGAAAAAATTTATTAGAACCCGTTTTTACGTTTCCGGATAGCCGAGTCTGAAAATCGTAATTTTTGAAACACTCCCTGTATATCAAAAACGAAAAGGGCTATGAAAATTTGGTTTGCGCCATTGTAAGTTTCATAAAAAAGTAGCTCAGGTTCGCGAAAGCCGCAACTTTCTATCTTTCATAACAACTGAGATACCCTGCAAACCCATCGAAATTTGGACACCCTGTACATGTATAGTATTTTGATTATAACAAGAGAACCACTCATCCGATTTCGATAATCAATGTATCATTCGAAAGCTTAATCTTTGGCCAATACGAATGTGGACGTACACGAATACCGAAATCTGTTTGGAATTCCACTAAAAGGCCAAAATATTGCGAAGGTACACGCAAATGGATGATGTATAATCCAACGTCATGGCTGCTTCGTTTTAATTATTTGTTGGGCACCTGATTCTTTTGCAGGAAGGGTTAAACATTGAAATTCGATTAGTGCGTTTTATTTTAGTAAAATGACGTAAGTTTTATTTGAAATGTTTCGAGAAAACGAGTAATTTTTTTATTGAAAGGTTGAGTTTTAAAACCAAAATCGATTTAAAACCGCTTCGCTCCGTCGTTTTTACATTTTTTGTTTATTCACCTCCAGTAAAGCAAAAAAAATACTATACATGTAAAATCCTATATAATTGGGGGCTAGAAAAATGGGGGCTAACATCGTATAGGTCTATTGGATTCAATATGATCAATTTAGAATAAGAATGAAATAAAACATGGTTAATCTGGAATCCAGGAGTAAAATTCTTTTTGGTTGAAATAAACCTGTTGATATTGAAGTCCAATGATAAAAGTGGTGTTTTGAAGTAAAACTTTTCGATGAAACGTGGCATTGTATAGGTGTAGAAGTCTAGACTCTAGAGATTTATCGTCTAACATCCCGCGGCTGCTCGGTACCTAGAGTAGACGATACAAGAACCGTTCCCACATTGAATACAAAGATAATGAACCTCGGCGTCGACGTATATCTCCGTAATCGATCCACTGATTCATCGCTGTCACTAAGGCCCATTGTACGGTGCGTTATTCATTTTTATAGCGTGTTACTCTTAGCAATTGGAGTGCGCCGGCCATATTTATGCGCAATCCTCTTCTCTCGTTCTTCCTCCATTTAGACGTCATCTCGCCGGAAAAAGGCGAAAAAATAATCCCATCGGAAGCGTTCGGGAACAGTCGGCGAGCGACCGTAAGCGGTTTAACCCTCTCTATCCGATGGTATCTGATGAAATGCAGCACCAATTTGTCCGGTACATCGGAATTAATTCGCTGTTTCTCGTTGCAATTTTTACCCAGCTTTGGATTTAATTTTTTTTATCCCGACGTAATGAATTTTGCCGTTCAAAAGCTCATTAGTTAATTTTTTAATAGTTATCTAAAAATTAGAATTGTCAGTAAGATTAAACTTTCTAGACTTTGCTTTAATTATGGACTGTAGTAAACAACGATGGACGAAGGTTGATGGTGGGAAAGAGACCTTCTCATCCTCAACCTCCTCCTACTCCTCTTCATCCTTCTCTTACTGCGCCACGCAAGAGACAAGTTTTTATCAAGCAAAAGGAGGTTCGTTCACCGAAACCGACAACAGATCTTAGGGGTCAAGATGCCCATTATGAACGACACAATACAAATAAGCTCAACTTTTTAATTATTATCAAAATTTCAACAAGATTATAGACGTTTATGTCAAGGTTTAACTCGACTTTTAGTATTGAAACATGAAACACATCTAAAACTTCAACAACTACTATACTATGGAACTGTTGACTTTTATGACGTCTTAATCGACCCGTTTACAATCGACACAAACGTTGGAACGTTAAAGTTGTAAATGCTGCGAGCAAAAAGCGCACAGTGCAAAGCTCCGATTAATTGTCGGAGAGCGTTAGAAATTCGCGATACGTTTTACCATTAGTCAGTCGCAATTACACGCCTGTTTTGCCGTCGTCGTTGTCGTGCCATGTTGTCCCACTTGGGCAATGGCGTTTCCGCATTAATTATTTATAAGCGTGGCCGATCGAGGACATTCCGTGTGAAAGCTCTGGCTCGGGAAGTATTTTTCGATTGAAGAAAAATCGCGAAATACCAAGACTCGATCTTAATATAAAAGCAATTTCAGGTTGTCGTTTTAATCTAGGAAATATAATTATCCTGGAATACATTTTCTATTTAGTTATTATTATAAGCGTGACATTAAAGTCGAATTATATATCTAAAGTCGATTAACATCTACGGAAACAAGAATCGATAATAATATACACATCATGTACTTTGAAACTCATTTATAATTCATTATTTCATTAACATTTCAATTGAGGTGAAACATCTTTTCCAATCAAAGTTTATTGGAAAAATAATAAATTATTCTCTTTCGGTTCAAAGGAAAAAGTAAAGTTACCGTGGTAGAGTAGGGTTGACAAGTGAGGCGAATCCCATCCTGTGACAGCTTCTCCCTGAGGAGCATCTTTAGTTGCATCCGGGGTATCTTAACAAGTTCCGCTTTGCCTTCCTCGTATTCGTCCGTATATTTAGCCGCTTCTTGTCCCCCACCGCTGTCTGCACCGGAAGAAACCGCTGGAGATGGTTGTGGCGTACGTCCAACGACCGCAACGGCCGCAGCAGCAGCAGCCGCAACGACACCGACTCCAGCGGCAACGGCTACGTCCTTGTCAGAACATCTCGTGGAAGACGTCCTCGAAGACCGAGCACTACTCACATTATCGGCGCACAAACACTCTTCGTGAACCGCGGCGGTCTCTTCGAGCGTGAAATAAACGCTCGCGGCCCCTTCTTCGCGCAAAGTCCTCACCGATTGAAGAAGACGACCACGGTGTTGAGGATTGAATACGCCGATGGCGTCCAAATCGGGATCGCCGACTTGTTTGCAAATTTCTAAATCGTCGTAACCGTTGTCGATGAAACTTTCAGCGTATTGTCCTAGGTGAAGTGACCGTAGCCACTCGGCGACGATGTTACAGGACATTATCTTGATTATCTGGTCCGGTCCTGTAACACGTTGACTCGCGGCCGAAGCGGAAACGCGCACTATCCGGACCCAGCAAGAGCCCGTCGGCTTCTGGGTGCGCAACGACGACCAAAGTCGCCGGCAGACTTCGGCACGAGAATCGGGAGGTTTCGGGATTTAGGCCATACGAAGACCACCCGCCGCCGACGTCGTTGGAGAAGGGCTCTGTCACACCGGTACTGGAGTTGGTATTTCCCCACTATACCCCTTGGCCGGCCTCGCGCTGAGGAAACAAAGATAAAGGTATTAAAGGATCGCAAGCGAACGTAGTAGACGCTACAGACGACGCCTAAACGCTTAATACAGTTTCAATTTCGACGTTGTTATATTGTTGCGATTGGGTGTTTGGTCATATTTCGAACTGGATAATAATTTCAATTCACTTCCGGTCAATAATCGAAATGAACACAATTCTCTTAATATTTTCTATTAAAAAATCCATCAAATACATTGCTTAGCTAAGAAAGAGATATTCATAGATCAATCGAAACTGAATCTGAAAACGAAGTATCCAATCAACTCTAAAATTGCTTGAAAATTATTAAGTAAGAAAGTTGGGAAATATGATTGAGATGTTGAGAGCTGTCAAGGTAGTGTAGCAAGATAACATTAAAGGCTAGAAACGATATTGGAAGATATCAAGGTTGGTATTGATAGACATCAGAGATGATATTTGCAAAAAGCATAATAGATATTGGGAATGATGTTATCGAGGCCAAGCCAAGACTGTCTTCGGGAATTTCAGAGACATTTTTGACGTCGTCGAAACTGAATCCAACATGTCTATATCTGAAAATGAGATGTTGAGAGCTGTCAAGGCTAGATTAAATTAAAGACTAGAAACGATATTAGAAGATATCAAGTTTGATATTGATGACATCAGAGATGATACTTACAGATGTAAACCTTGATAGATATTAGGAATGATGTTTTTGGTGGAAAGGACAGTTTTGAGGTATGTCAGAGACATTTTTGACATCATGCGAGATGAGGAACAATGCAGATAGCTTGCTTGCTTATAAAGATTGGAATGGCTAAAGGAGCAATTTGTAATGAAAAACACAAAACTGTTACAAATATCTCATTAAATTCAATTTTTATCTAAATTTGCTCTTTTGTTGTATAACAATGATATTTATCCTCTTTGTTCAATGCTGCTGAATATTTCAACCCCAATTTCAATTTCTCTGTTCGTTATTCTTGATAAATCGAAATAAAGCAATAGAAACATTGAATGTTTGTATAATGGTTCGTTTTAATTACAACCAAATAAGAAGGTAGCGAAATGAAGTTGGAGAGAGTGAAATTCGTGTACACACCTAGGGCATTCACGGTTATTTTCTCGGTGGATTTTACTTGGCATCCCCTCGTGAAGAGAGTAAATTCGCGGGGTTTCGACCTCTCAAATGTTAATTTTCAATTTCGAACTATCCCCCGCGGTGTTTTTTCCTTCTTCGTTTTTCAGCATATCCACTGCCATTAGGGAATCTTTTCCGGAATGTAAATACGCGTATCCATTAAGAGGAGGAGGATTCTCGCAAAGATGATGATATTTAATTTCGAAACGGGGTCTTCGCCGCCATCCACCTCTTCGCCCCACAATTAATCACGAACGGACCAGACTGCTTGGCAAACACACATTTTGTTTTTCGTCTTTTGATTCCGCACAACGACGATATTACTTTTCGTATTTTTGTCGTATCGTTTATTAAAATGTAGTGTGTACAATATTCAAACAAAAAGCAATGTTTCGTTCTTCGGTCGTGTTTTGATTTTGAAGGTTTGATAGAAGATTGCTAGGTGTGTAAAATGAAGGAGAATAAAAATATAAATGGATGAATCGCGACGCATCGACGCCTCGACGCCTCGGAGAGTTTCCTGTCTGAAAACAAACCTATATATCATAGACAGCGTTCCTATACGGTAGATAGTGGGCTAAAAAAGGGTCGTTGAGGAATTTATAGGCTGAGAGGAGAGCGTGCGCCTAAATTTATTTAGTGGCGTCGGCGGCGCCCGTTCATAGTACGACTATTGTCGGAGACGCGCAAACAATACCGGACGGATGTGAATTATACTGTCGCAACGGAGTTACGGGGTGTAAAATTTACGGGGGCGTCGAAATTGCGGAAGTTTTCAGCCCGGGCCGTCGGTTTGTTATTTTAACAAGACCGGGGACCTCGACGACGACGCTGCAACTCTCTTTTCACGTTCCAACCATAAAAATCGAACCAAATTTAAATTATATTCGTTTCGGGGTTTTGCAAAAAAAGGACGTCACCCACCTAAATACGATACATAGGTGTCGTAGTCGTTGTCGCGGATGTATCCCTTTGACAAACGCGGATTCAATTACCGGCCGAGTAAGCACATTGTTGCGCAAAGCACCCAGCAACAGCTCTCCCACCGTCCGGTGATTATAATTAACGGCGTCGCATGAATATACATGACGCGTCCACCACCTCCCTCTGTTATTTCAACTCGGCCTTGTAATCGGATTCTCTTCTTATACCTACACTTCTTTTACATTTACCTACAAAAATATATTTTGGTTCATTAACTAATTCATTTTGTTTTACCCTCCTTTTTTTACCGATTTACCCTCTTCACTCTAACTCTTCTTCAGTTCTTCAAGTCATTATATTGATACGCAATTTGCACACTGAAAGGTATTAATGTCATGGTTGCTTTTAATTCGATTGTGTCAAATGAGACCTTTCTCAAAAATTTCATCATCAAAGATGGTCATCATTACATATTGATTTATTCCAAAGCATTCTTTCAATGTGCTCGCGTCTTATTCATTGTTGTAAACGAATCAACAAGAAACAAAACTCAACCGTTAAATGTGCAACTAATCGTGAGTTTTATTAAGGACCGTTTTTTGCTCAGTACATAGCTGTTTCTACCATGTTACATTTTTTGATTTGTTTGTGTGATAAATACAGTTCCAACATAAGCATACCCTAAAGCATGATAAATTTGGAAATGTCGATTATTATAACTATGCCGCATTGCATTCAAAGAATACTAACTCCAAAAATTGAAATTTTAAAAAACTGATCTTAAGGATATTAAATATTTATTAAATTTGCTTTAAATTGCTTTTTATTTCATATTGACATCTTAATTAGTTTTTGAGATATGAATTTTTAAAGATTAATTATTTTAATTTTAACCTAGATTATTATAAGTATGCAGCGCTGTATTCAAAAAATCATAATTCTAAAATTTGAATATTTCAAGAATTTATCTTTAGCACACCAAATACTAATTAAATTTGCTATAAATTACTTTTTACATCACCGTAATATTTCAATTAGTTTTTGAGATATGAATTTTTAAACACTAATTAGTGTAATTTCAACATTTCATATTATAAGTATGCAGAGTTTTATTCAAAAAATCATAATTCTAAAACTATAAATTTCGAAGAATTGATCTTTGGCACACCAAATACTAATTAAATTTGCTATAAATTGTTCTTTACATCATTGTTATATCTCAATTAGTTTTTGAGATATGAATTTTTAAACATTAATTATTTTAATTTCAACATTTCAGATTATAAGTATGCAGAGTTTTATTCAAAAAATCATAATTCTAAAACTATAAATTTCGAAGAATTGATCTTTGGCACACCAAATACTAATTAAATTTGCTATAAATTGTTCTTTACATCATTGTTATATCTCAATTAGTTTTTGAGATATGAATTTTTAAACATTAATTATTTTAATTTCAACATTTCAGATTATAAGTATGCAGAGTTTTATTCAAAAAATCATAATTCTAAAACTATAAATTTCGAAGAATTGATCTTTGGCACACCAAATACTAATTAAATTTGCTATAAATTGTTCTTTACATCATTGTTATATCTCAATTAGTTTTTGAGATATGAATTTTTAAACATTAATTATTTTAATTTCAACATTTCAGATTATAAGTATGCAGAGTTTTATTCAAAAAATCATAATTCTAAAACTATAAATTTCGAAGAATTGATCTTTGGCACGCCAAATACTAATTAAATTTGCTATAAATTACTTTTTACATCATCGTAATATTTCAATTAGTTTTTGAGATATGAATTTTTAAACATTAATTATTTTAATTTCATCATATCAGATTATAAGTATGCAGAGTTTTATTCAAAAAATCATAATTCTAAAGCTATAAATTTTGAAGAATTGATTTTGGCACACCAAATACTAATTAAATTTGCTATAAATTGCTTTTTACATTATCGTAATATCTCAATCAGTTTTTGAGACATGAATTTTTGAACTTCCATGTTTCTTAGAAATTATCTAGATGAAACAAAAAAAAAGAGAAATTGTTTTAGTTTGGGTTTAAAATTACTTAAAATAATTAAAATAGGGTGAATTTAGGATTTAATTGAATTCAGGAGGGTTTAAGAAGACCCCATCGAGGGGAATTCGGGAATTAGATTCATTTTAGTCCGGAAAAGCCGACTTTTCGATATTCTGGAAACGTACGCGTCCCGGAGTTTACTTATTTACCTACTTCCCCGGCTGCAAATACGTGATTCCCGTTGGTTTTTGCCCTCCAACGTTGGTAAATACGGACACAGTATATCCATTCGAGATTGATTTCAAATCTTTTTAATGTCCACCTTTAATTAAACAAATTTAAATCGAACCGATTTTTCTTTGATTAAAAACTTGATTATTTTGGAATTATAGTCAATGAGGAGAAAAATTAAGATAAAAATTAGGTTACAAGAAATAATTTTTTTAAAATTCATGGTTGAATTGACGAATCGTACAACTAGAGGGCAGTTCGAAACCTGGAATTAAGTTCCCGCGGGAAACGAGAACGTTGCCGTTATTACATGATGTATCCCGTGGATCTTAAATAATGTAAGTGTAACCCGGCACGAAGTAGTCCGGAGGTTTTAGTGCGGGTAATAAAAGTCCCTGGGTCCCTTGGGAATTTCCCCCTGCTCACCTTCAGGCACCGACCGGTCGAAAAGTAGGACCCGGAATTTTGTTTGAGCAGTTTTCGAGAACTTTGCTCTTTCGTTATTCTTGATAAACTGCGGCTACGTGGCTTTTTTCTTTCGATCTCTTTCGCACCTCCAACGAGTGACAATTTCAAATTAAAATAATACCATTTTATAAGATTTATTTTATTCCAATTTAAAATGAATCTTAACTTAAGAGAAATTCGCAGCACTTAAGACTTTACCCGTAAGTGAATAAGAAAATTTGCATCGGAAATATGAAAGGGTGCCGGGAAATCCGAAAAGGAAACTGCCGAAGGAGGCACAACCCTTAACGAAATGCAAATTTATTTATGGACCACACTTACGCCAATATATCGGCGGCAAAATGGGCGAATTTACATTTGAAAGCTTGCTAAAATATCCACTGCGAACCGATGGGACCGCGAATTGTACATTATGCACCCCATCCTTTACCCTATTTTTACGACGACGTATGTCGATGGTGTTAAAGGGATACGTAAATCCAAGTTTTTAGTGTTACTGTAAACTGCTTACTTTACACATAGAAGTACAAATTTTCTAACAAATCAACTTAACCATGCGACTATAAGAAACAGAGTCAAAAAGATCCAAAAAGAAGTGTATTTTTAATCCAAATACATCAACACATTTCCCCCTACCATATTTTCGTCGGTGTTTATCGCCGATAATTATGATAATCCAGCTAACGCAACGTGTCAATAATAATGCTATGCGTGAGGGGACATTTCCATTTTATCACCCACGAGGGAAATATATCTTTATTCAAGCTACTCGTTGATGTGTGTATTACAATTTAAACATCAAAAAGGTCGTTGAAAATGTACGAAATTGGGTGGGATTCATATATAGGGTATGGCGTGAAGAGCTCGAGCAATTAGCACGTATTCGAGAGCAGCACGGGCCTTGTCAATATTAATCACCACTAGGAGAGCAGATGCCGTAGACATTTACCTGGCGGTGGCCCCGGCACCTTCGAATCACGTCCGATTCGAATTTCGTGTGACATCTGCTCGCGGGTGTTTGTCCTGATGGGTGGTAGCACGAGTTCGTGTCCTAGCAGTTTTGTTTTAATAATCCTAATTACATCCGAACACGACTACGTTAATTAGATTATAATGACCCAAGCGAAACATTTAAAACTTTTCCATTTATTTTCAATTATTTCGATTCTTTAATGAGTTACGTTTATATATTGAATTGAATTATTCAGTTGTGAGAAATGATTTGAACCGAAATTGATGTGGAAGCGATCAATTGAATTAGACCTAGGTTAAATTACCAATTATTTCGTGACAGATTCCGATCAATATTGTAGATATTACAGGTGAATGTTTCGCCGATAACATTTTATCGAAATAAACCTTATTTTTGTAATTTGAATTTATCTAATTGGAATTCTGAATAAACTATGCAAGTGAACGGTGGTTAAATGGTTTAAAACAGTATGTCAAATACATTTAAACGAATGTTAAAATTAAAAAAAAAATAATTCTGCGAAACGCGATGAAGTAATCAATTGATGGAACAATAGTATAGTTTCTATAATGAGGAAATGTTTTTGTGAAATGATTCGTCTTGAGCTTATCTAATCTTTTCTAGATCTCTAGATTCTCATACAAAATAAATATTTTTTGTTTTACAGTAGGAAATATCAGTGCTTTACAAACAGGATATAAACTTTTATAGCACTGTTTAGACTCTGGCAGCAGAATTGAATATTATTAGAAGTATCAATTTGTCATTTTAACAAATACACCCAGATAGCCGAAGTACCATGGTCAACCCGGAGAAAGTGAGACTTAGTCTAACTGTAGAAAAAACATGTCTAAATATAGTTGGACTCTAGGGAAAGAGTTGGAATTTGGAACTTAGTCATCTTTATACTACCTAATATTTCGTTAGAAGCACCTAAATCATCTTCCTCCAATATTTAATGTTCTGCAAAGTGTTTAATTTAAAAGTCGTATTCTGCAAGCAATATCTAGTTTTCTTCAGTTAACAAGAATAACTTTGCGGGTGGTTTAACTTTTCTGTACTTAGATAGCGCGAACGTATAATTTAATAATAACATAAAGATGTTTATGCTGATAATAATTTAAACAAAATCAATTTTGGTTTTGTGAAGTTACTAGGAAAAAATGTTATAGGAAAGGTGTATTGCGCCATCTATGAATTAGGTCTCAATTTAATTTTGGATAAAATACAGATTTCTATTATTTGCCTAAAATTTTCGTTATGGCGATAGGTGAGTTTCGATTTTGATTAAATGGGGAGGTTATTTTAAATTCAAATTTATAAATGTAAGTTAAAAGTTATAAATAATAAGATCTAAATTTATGTAGGTTAACAATCTATATAAATATAATTCTTATCAAAGGAAGAAATGAAAGAAAATGAATTTTTTAGAATCAAATTAATTTTTATTGGAAATTTTCGATATATACCGAGGGTGATACGTTTAACAGTGTGTATTACAATAATAATTATTGCTCTTTGAAATAATTGACAATAACAAACGGGTTTAATTAGCCCTTCAACAAATACAACAAAAAAACTTGATTAAAAAAGTTTTTTTGTTGTATTTGTTTTATAAACGGTGTTTAGTGCGTTATGAAAATTGAGATTTCTCATTTAATTAAAAATAAATATTTAGAAAACAAAAACAATTCTTTTAATACTGAAAGACGAAAATTAAACAAAGAACAAATCGAGGATTATTATTATTACAATATTTTTGTATTTATCGGTTTTTAATTTGCAGGACAATAATTAATAATAATTTTTAATTTTTCTAGGGCGAGTTATACAATTAATTGACTAGTTGACTGAGAGGCAAAACCAGTTGTCTCAGTTGCGCTAATAGATTTTTAATTTAATTGATTGTTGTATTGAGTTGATCGATTTCTTAACAATTACCTTATGTGGCGCTCAATATGAGCGAAATACAACCAAAATCGGTCGGAAAGATAAAAATAAAATAATATTACTTAATAAAATTAAAACTTATACAAGTCTAAGGTCTAAAAAAGCGTTTCGGAAATATTTACTCTCTTCTAAAGTTTCAAGTAACTATTTTTTTATAAATCACTAAATAAAAATAAATCACAAACTGAAAGTTTTACATTTTCTTGTTTTTTTTTTATGAATCTTATTCTTTGTCCAAAAAATATTTACAACTTAGTCCAGAAAGGTCAGAATACTAAACGGAACGAACACGGTCTAATTTTTTTAATCTGTACAAAAAAGTATCCTATTTTTAATAGTAAAATTAGTGTTGATCAGTCTCATGGGAAGGAAGTTGTCTAGGTCCTCGTTTTTTATTTTGGGGGATCCTTTTCTTTCTTTATTCTCTTAGATTATTTTTTTAAATTTTTTTAATACACGTAAATTTGTTTTAATTGAGGCTTCAATTCGGCCGGTATCGTATACACTTCCGTTGTCGGCTTCTTTTTTACTAAACGCCTCCATTTACCACCCAAATTCTTCCTAAATCCCGTCACAAAACCTGGTCTATCCCTCGGTAAGTTTTGTACAAGCGAATCCTAGAATAAAAAAAATTATTATAATCAAAATAGAAAAATTAAGTGATAATTCCCAAAGTAGAGTCGAAAAAGAGGACAGAAGAAACGGATTTCTCCCATCCTCCTCTTCGGCCTTCTTTCCTAAGCGTTTAAGGCCAGGCAAAACCGAGCCAACCAGCAACAAACGAAACTTTCCCTCGTGCCTTTATGTAACCCCAAAACGCTTTCGTAAGCTTTTTTTATATTTTTCAAATTACCTGGTCTTGATTGTACGTTGGTTTTGGTTCTGGTGGAGGGAATTGCCATCTAACGAATGGATCGGTTGTCGGTTGATGATTATTTTGATTAATTTGGTTGATTTGCACGTTGTTGTTATTATTAAGGGAAATCGTCGTCCCGTTGTTGGAATTGGTGGTGGTTTGTTGAAGAACAACATCTGCTGGATGAACGCTGTTACCGTGTTCCTCCCTTTTCCTCAACTTACTGCCAACAAGACGTATAGCCATCATTGTACCGTTACTGCCGACCATTTTAACGGAAACAACAAGCTTTACACGCTTAACAAGTTTTTTTTTATAAAGTTTTAAGTCACAAAGTCGCACAGCACAAGAAAATAAAATTATTATTTCTTTTCTAATCAATTGTAATTTCTTATGGCACTTTTTAAGTTAAGTTATTGTTTAAGCGACTAGATTCACACTAATTTGGAAAAACACGCGTTTGTAACTCGAAATTACTAAATACACGTTTTTAGTTAATATTTCACTTTTTAATGAAACGGCCTCGCGTACCCAAGAACGCTGTTCGCCGTTTGAACGACTTCATCGTCGTCCTTTCCCTTTTATACTTAAAGGGGGGGCGCTATCTTTGTCGTGTGTTGAAAACGCGTCGTTCGTTGTTGGTGGGGCCATGACTCGGTTTACGTGGAACTCCCCGCCATCAACCGTTCAACCGTACTCGAAAACGTAACGTAACAAAACGGACGAAGGTTTTGAGTTTGAATTAGACGAACGTTATTGTGTTTTTGTGATTTTAAAAAAATCAAAAATCATTTTTTTTTATCGAGTTATTATTAACGAAATATATCAGAAATTCCCATAGTTTTGGCGTTATTAGGTTTTGATTAAATCCCATTTTATCGAAGCAAAATATTTTAAAATCAAAAAATTATTATCTACTTAGGTGGATGTGTGCGTTTGTTTAATTTGTTTTTTTTTTTACTAAAGATTGAAAAATAATTTCCGTATTTTTCGAGATTTCCCTTTTGGACTTTGGTTGTCTTAACTTTGGTTTATTTACTCAAAAATAGAACAGGTTGTTTTTTCCAAAACAATGACGCAGCTTGAAACCTCCTTGTTGTTATTATGATGGAGTTAGTTTTATACTTATTTTTAATACTTATTACTAATTATTCACTTTTTACATGTTCCGGGTTAAACCCAAATTTGCAAAGTTGCATTTAAAATTTTTTGTTGAAAATTTGATATAAAAATTATTTCATTATTTTCAAAAATAAGATTCCCACGATTTTTTGAATTTTATCCTTATTTTTTGTGATTCAACTCAAAAACGCATCATTACTTTAAATTTTTTTTACAAAATCCTTTTAACGCTAAAACAATAACTTTAATATTTCCTAAAAGAAGAAGCTTTAAGCTTTAATTTGGCATAAGAATTATTTGTTAGCTTATATAAATATAATTCAGGGAATTTTTTTAAAATTAATGATTATAAGTAAGTAGCATTGATTGAGTCCTGTTTATAATTATCCATTACAACTTATAGTTTAATTATAAACAAATTATAACTTAATCAATTAATTCTTACCGTAATGAATACCTGATAACATCAAAGTTCATTGTTCCACACCCTATTTTTGGCTTATTTCAAGAAAAAAAAAACCTGTTAATTAACTTGTTTATGAACTAGTAGCTTATCGACAAAAATACATCGAAAATTTTAATTTTATAAGTACCTACATGATTAATTAACCTTTTCATTGTTAGTTTTTTTTCGGTTAGTTTAAATAATAACGATTTGAAAGGTTTCATAGTTTAAATATTATTTATTTTACTGTTTTATTTCGTTTTCCTTTTTATAAATCATCACGTTTGTATAACAAGATTTTTTAACCTTTATACAAACAAATAGTCCAAAAGTTAAAACATTTTTTTTTGTTAAAACAAACAATTTAAGTAAGGTTAATGATATATAAATCATTTTTTAACTTTCACAATCCTGATTTCATTAAATCAGAGAAGTTACAAATCACTAACGCATAGAGTTGTTTATATTTAAATCTTTAGATGACGTCGTTGGGATTTTCTTAAACAATTCTCGTAATGAATACATAATTTCTAATTTACGTAATGAATTTTAATTTTTTACGTTATATTCAAGGAATTGTGGATCGTTAAAGCGGACCTAAATAAATCTAGTCCAGTGGACCAACAAAAATTGCTTCGGACATCAATTCAATATAAAAAAATTGGATCCATTGTGAAATTCTTTAACCTAATTGCATTCGTTGATGTTGCGTTTGTGTTAAGTTTAAATTTTATTTTACACTGTGATGTAATGTTTAGTAATTTCTAATGCCCTTCAACCGGAAGCGGCATGTACGCAATCTTCATTAAGAGAGAGGACGTCGGCGACGACAATCACTTCACCTCCGACCCCTTTTGCCTTTACGTCACTCTCAGGCGCCTAATTTAACTGTTTTTCTTTTCTCGTTCAGCAGAATGTTCTTTAGTTACATTATAAAGACGCAAACAATAAATATATTTACGTCTGAATAGCAAAAAAACATCGTTATTATTAAAAACAATATGAAAATAAGAGTGTAAGAAAATTAAAACTGAACTTGATCAGGGACCCTTTTTAAGATAAAAATGATTGCCAAAGCTCTAAATTTGGGTGTCCATTGTTACACGTGCCCTTTGTACCTCGGGTTACCTCGCTTATTTTCAGTAACAATCTGTGCGTGTAGCGCATTATTATTAAAACGTTAAGGTTGCCCAGGTTTATTTTTAGGAATTACATAAGTAATTTTCGACTCGTCTTCTCTCCCGTCTCGTTTATATCAATTTTCTTTTCTTAACGTGTTACTCATACAATTAGAGCCAAAACGATTCTTTGAATTTCTTACTTTTTTGAGAAAAGGATTCCCAGAAACACTTAATTAAGAGATATTAAGTTTTAAGGAAAATCCCCGATTTTGAAACTTATGCAATATTGAGCAGTTTGACTGCAATGCACAACAATAAAAGATAACGGCATTACACAAACATTCTCTAACAGAAAATAATTTAATATTAATATGTCTAATTATTTTAAACAACAATTAATTATATTACTAGAGCATTTTTTTTTTTTAATATTTAATTATATCCACTCAAAAGCACCATTTATTTTATTTTAATTCCCACTTCATTAATAACAACAAATAATACCTTTTAACATTTTCACGAATAATGTATTATTATTATTTCCAGAAAATCAACTGCATAAATTCTATTTTCGTGTTGAAAAACAGAAATGTTTAGCTTTAAATTAATCCTCCACTGAAAATAAATGGAAGCGAATTAATTTTGATTTAAGACTTATTTTGCGTTGGTTAAAAATCTGAGCTAGTTTATCATTATAGTGATGCGGCGAAGTAAACACAACAACTTTTGGGAACTCCCACTAAAATGTAAACATTTTGAATCACACTTTGAGTAAATAAGGCGTAGATTCCAACTGTTATCTTATTCGAAAAGGAAATAATAAATAATTTAAATGCTTCTAATACCAAGGATATTAAGTTAGTTGAGAAGTAAATAAATTAATAAATCTGGAGATTAAGTTAAAAATGTTAATCGTTTAATCTATTTCTTTAAGGCCTTGTTTTATCTAAATTAATTTTTCAAAATCCCATAAAAACGAGATTTATGGGAACAAAGAAATCATTTATGCCACATTAAAACTAAATTATTTTGCTATAAAATGGATTTTATTTAATTTGTGGGAATAAAGGAATAATTTTCATCTTAGTAAATATTAATTAAATTTGCTTTAAGATGCTTTTTATTTCATGGTGATATCTCAATTCGTTTTTGAGATAGGAGCATTTTTACCAATTCAACCTAAATATAATAGAGTTAAATTAAAAAAATCGTATCACCGTGATGTATGTAAACGAAACAAATATTTTTGGTGTGTTAATACAAGATTAAATTTGCTTTGAAATGGTGTTTAGATCATCTTTATATCTCAACGACTTTTTCAGCTATGATTTTTTTAATTTATAAATTTAGCTCGTGGCTGGAACACCTTTTAACACTCTAAATTTCAACAAGTATACTTTAAAATTTCTAAAATTTGACATTGGTCTAATGTATACCTGAGTCAGTTTTTAGAGCTAAAAGCTTATGTAAACCAGTCGCTTTGGCGAGACGCCGTAAAGGCACGCGAGCTCCTTGCCAAAAATATTCCACATTGTTCCGTGTGCGAATTACATCGTAGGTAGTTTATAACTTAAACGTCGAACACTTTTTTTGCTTCCTTCGACTTATATTCTTGTATACAATAATAAAATATCCGTTGTTTATTTTCAAACGACGTTAAAATTGCTCAACATGAACTTCTTATTAGCCCTCTCAAACGATGTACTTAAAATTAATATTGCTGCGTTCGAAAAATACATAAATCGTAGAAAATATTTTTCTGGATTTATTTTGATTTTGTTGATATACTTGGTAAGAAGTTTTTATAGTATTTCTCGATAGTTTATTGTTAAACGAGTGTTTATGCAAGCTTATGACTAAAACCGTGTTGTTATCGAGACCATGTTATGACGTGTTTGTGTACAATTTTTTATTGAAAAATAGGTAAATAATGAATTGCAAATTCATAAAAAATAAGTTTCAATGTCGATAATTCAACATTTTCAATTCTTATAAAATTAATTATTAATGTTAACCAATATTTTCCAGACAATTTTAATAGAAAATAACAATTTTCATGGAAAAACCTTGTTGAGTGGTGACACATAAAAAATTCTATATAACAAACATTTCCTTCGTTGATAACTCGTCCTATATAAAGTTGTTTCTATAAACTTATTATAATATTTGTCTTGTTTAATTGTTTCATTTAATGGTATAGATGACTAAATGGGAAGTCAATAATTTAAAGTGTAAATAATTCTCGAAAGATAATAGATAAGCTAAATTCACGTTGCATAAACACACATGGCACGAGGATTCAGCGAGCTTTGATCACACTCGTGACTCAAACTTGATAAAGTTTTTGGTTCGTGTTTAAATTTGCTTCTAATTAAAATAAAACGATTTAACGCAAATTATCAAAGTAATAATAAATAGTTGAGGTATATTTATAATTTATACATTCTACATAATTTAATCTGCATTTCATTAAGATAAGATATTTATTATACATAACTTTCTGTATTGAATTAAAAAAAGCGTATTACCGTAATTTATTGAAACGAAACAAATATTTTTGGTGTGTTAGAACAAGATTAAATTTACTGTAAAATGGTGTTTAGATCTTTTTAATATCTCAATTACTTTTTGAGATATCATCTTTTGGAATTAGGTATTTATAAATTTAATTTCTCATAATGCAAAGATGTATTAAAAATAATCGTAACGTCGAAATTTGTGGGAATAAAGAAATAATGTTTATTAAATTATCTTTAAAATGCTTCTTAATTCATGATGATAACTCAATTCGTTTTTGAGATAGGATCGTTTAAATTGCATTTTTACCAACTCAACCTCAATGTAATAGTGTTGAATTAAAAAAAACGTATCACCGTGATTTATAGAAACGAAACAAATATTTTTGGTGTGTTAATATAACATTAAATTTGCTTTAAAATAGTGTTTAGATCATATTAATATCTTAATTACTTTTTGAGGTATATCTTTTTCAAATTAAGTATTTATAACACTAATTTGTCATAATGCAAAGATGTATTAAAAAAATCATAGCGTCGAAATTTGTGGGAATAAAGAAATAATTTTTATCTTGCTAAATGTTTATTAAATTATCTTTAAAATGCTTTTTATTTCATGGTGATATCTCAATTCGTTTTTGAGATACGATTTTTTGAATTGCATTTTTATCAATTTAACCTCAATGTAACAAAGTTGCATTTATAGAAACCAAGGAAATATTTTTGGTGTGTTTGCTGATTTAATGCAAAAATGATTGAAATAATAATAAATAGTTCTACATAATTCAATCGATGTTTTGTTAAGATAAGATATTTATTCCACAATGTTTTCGTGCTTGTTTTTTTGGGTTTTTATGTTTTCCGAGTAGAAATGCGTAACAATTAATGTTATGTATTTCTCTTTGCGTTGTTTTCTTTTTTTTTTGTATAAAACGCACGTTGTGACGTACTGTTTGTTATTATTATCATTTTAACTACGTTTTGAGATATTTCTTTTTGGCATTCATTTCGAAAAATTATTTATGCTTTATGGTAAAGATTTCTTTTTAGGATTTTTATTAAATTTGTTTCAATAAGATTTGGTACATTTCCCTTGACACTAAAATCACAATACTTTGTAAACGTTGCCGAAATTTAAAGTGCAGCTGGGTTATTAAACAACGTCACCGTTTAAAACACCATATGTGACCTATTTTATACGAAAGAGCTCGCTCCCGATTTCTCGTTGGGTATTTTTAGGTTTAACCAACAAAAAAAATTTCAAAATCTTGCAATAAGTGTTAGAAAATAGAATCCAGGAAGATTTGCTTCTATTTTAAAATATTTTCTTTTTTGTTTTATGGGTATTTTTCTTTTTTCTCGGCGTTATGAAACGCTTATCATTTTCTGATAACATTTTTACGAGAATTCACTAGAAGGTCACTCACTCAACGACTTTAACTTGTTGAGGTTAAAAAATAATCGCGGAGAGATGAGAATTTCGTTTCTTTCAGAATTTTTCAAGTACCCATTGTTTTAGAAAGTTATCTTTCAATTTAATAATAATAAAACTATATTCTAAAAGATAAAATAATTTCAACATTCTAAATTCGATAAGATCCAAATAATTATTCAAAAAATCTTGATAAAAAAATGAATTATTGAAGATTTTTTCTGTATTTTTAATTAATTTTTAATTAAGTCGTTTTTATGAAGACACAAAATTGCGTCACAACTTCACACTTAATTTTTATTTATCTGAACGAAACAATACGCCATAACACGAGTTAAGCAGAAAAAAGGAAAACGATAAATAACTTTTTTAAATCGTTTTCGTGACAAATTTTAAATTATTTTATTATATATATTTTTTTTTTCTCTATAAACTAAACAATCACGATTCATTCTCATGTAGATACGAGATAAAACCGTTTGAACAACCTCGAGACAACTTAAGTAATACATTTTACCATGAAAAAAAATATATATACGTATTTGTTGCTGAGCTAATTTCGCGATAGATAAAAAAATTTGATTCAATCGATTTTTTTAATAAATCCTTAGAATCAAATGAATCATCTTAGTATTATCGAGTTGATGTTATCCTCATGCTTTTGTAAAGGTGTAATTGACGACGATTTTCCTTTTCACTCTTTCCGCTTAGTAAAAAACCGAATGATTCACAGTTAGATATTTACATTTGTAAAAATTTTATGCTCAAACGGTTTGTTTGTTGAGAACGGTTTTTATTATTTTCTATGTGCGTAAAAGATCTTTTTTTTGGATTTTCCTTTACGAAGAGAGTTGTATTTGAAAACGTTCACTAAAATTAAAATCGCTATTGACGCACGACGAGAAATGTTTTGGGGAAATTTGAAACTAACGGTTCCTAAGCAATTATTGTGTTTCTTTGGATGATGTCGAAAATAGACGAATACGAAATCGATTTTTCATATTCAATCTAAGTAATCAACTCCATGTAACCCAATCAATGATTTTTAGAACCTTAACCTCATCTTAACTTGATTTTTTCCCCACCTGAACTCCAATCTGTTTCTCATAACATTTCTTTATTCAAATAATTCATTAAAGATACGTTGAAAATAGAGACTTTAAGCTTTAATTAAACCATAACTTGATTCATAACTCCTATCTAAATGCTTGCAACTTTTTAACAATTAAATGTGAGTATTTACAATTTGTTATAGTTAAATATGGACATTTACATAAAAATTTTTTTCTCAGAACTTTTTGGTAATTTAAAAGTTTGTTATATGTAACCTAAAAGTAGAGGGTTTAAGGCTTAATTTAAGCCAAAACTTGTTTCATAACTCCTATTATTAAGGTCATGATGAGTATTTAAATATTTTGCGTTATTGAACAGTTAAATATGGACATTTAAAAAAAAAGTTTTTCCTAAAACTTCTTTCTAATCTAATAGTTCATTATACACAATAGAAAAGTAGATACTTTAAGCTTTATTTTAAATCAAAACTTGTTTCTTAACTCCCTACATTAAAATTAAAGATTATCGAGGAAATCTTAAAACTTTGACAACATAAATAGCATACAAATTGACTACAATTTTCTTTAATTCTCAATAGAAAGTATTCATTTTAGTGCCAAGTTTGTTTTCGAAACCGTGGAAAAAGCCAACGAAACAATCCTTTTATTTAAAAGTGCATTTCAAAGTGGTAACAACGAACGTAACGAAAATAATGTTTAATGGACGTGATTTTTTTTTATTCCGCGATTTCGAATGGTTTTTCCCTCAAGTATAAATATTTTTTATTGTGTATTATGTAATTTTACGAGTTAAAAAGTACAGAGTTTTTGTAAATATCCCGGAAATGAAACGATGTTCATCGTAAGATCGTTAATTGTTATTATTGTTTTTTATTTTTCGTCATAACGAAGTGTAAAAATAAACTGTGCGACTGTGACACTGAAAAGATGACCTTAAAATCCTTAGAAACCCAGTTATTACTTGTTTTTATTACTCACTTTATCGTAACCGCCAGAAGGATTATTATCAGACCGACAAGGACCATGGCAATAAGAACTCCTCCAATCATGTACAAACTTTCATTTGGTGCATCTGAAATTAAAAATTAAAAGATAATTAATTTATTAAAAAAACAATTTATATTGGAGGCTAATTTTAGTGTAATTTATATCAAACAAAGGAGAACTCAGAAAAAGGGAGTCAACGTGCCAAGATTGTTATAAAATCAGGAATAAATATCGCCACACGTTTCGGTTCTAAGAAAAAAAAAACTAAAAGACCGAAACAATAAACTTAGAAACGAAAAATCTTTCGAAATGATAGTTTGGACAATTTTCTCGTGAAAATAAACGATTTGGCAACGAAAATTTTCGAAAAGCTTGGGGGACACAACAAACTTCTTTTGGCACCATCCAGTCTTCTTTATAAAGGTCGCAGACTGTTGTAAACCAAAAACTAAAAATAACTGAGAGTTTATATTAAACATTTTAGCGATTGAAATTGTTTTAGGAAAAAGAAAGTCGTTGAAGCGAAGTTTCCTGAAACCTAAGACGACGACGCTCTTCGAAAGTAAAAGAACCTCGCAAGTTACGTAAACCAACTTTCTTCAAGTATTGTTTTAAAATTAACAAATGCAAAAATAAAAAAATGATTTAGTAGTTGTTAACCTTGTGATATAGCCGAGCTCGGTTTTCTATTGAAACGTAACGCCCAACGGCTTTTTGAAGCCGTGTTATGGTACGCAATGGCACTGGGATTGCCAATATACCAAGAATTGAGAGTAACAGGCCATAACGGACGACGGTGGTTCATTTCTCTTCTTCCAGTTAAATGATTGAGACGAAAAAATGAAAGTTCGCGGTCTGAATGTGAAGAAAAAGTTTTAATTTTATTAAATTTGATTTTCTTAAAGAATTTAATCATTTAATTATTATTGAATCGTAACATTTTTAAAGATAAGATTTAACAGAGAAAAAAATGATAATAAAAAAAAATAATTAAATTTAAATTTAATTTCCTTTTTGAATTTATTTAGATTGTAAATATTTTCAAATGTTTTTGTGATGACCAAAACATCCGATTTTGATAAACAAACGTTGGTGGTGGATAAAAAGAGTTTGGTTTTTAAAGATGATTTAGACTTGAGAGTGTATTAGGAGAGGCGTTTGAAGGTTTTAAAACGAAAACAGTTATGATGGCGCGTTTACACAGTTTTTCCCCACAATTTTCCTGATATATTCCAGAGACGAAGTGTTTGGCCTTTGTATGTACCTACGTAGGTAAATTTTGCGGCGGGGAAACCGTAAACCGACCTTGGACCGAAACCTAAATCAATCCTTAGCGTTATTAAGTTCTTAAAAAAAATCTTTTTTAATTATTTGCATTTAATATTAGTTAAGATTGTTTTTAAAGCGATTCAATAACAATGTTGAACGACGTCAATTCTTACTTGCCATTCAAATCCTGATTGTTTGCTCAACATTTCAAGGCGATTATTTCGCTTTTAAAACATTTGTGCGATATGAAACGAACAAACACTCCTGTTTCTAAGGGAAACTAAAAATTAAAAATTTAAAACTTATTTTTTGTAAGATTGTGTAATTTATTACGGTGTTTAACGCGCATCCCACCTACGTAAAGTTTATATTTCGTGGTTAATCAAGTTCTTCTTGAAATAGAACTGACTAACTTATAGAAAGTATCAAAAAAAAACTAAAGGAAAATTAAAAGATACAATCGTTTTTTTATAGATTCCTAAAATTAGGTCTTAGACGATGTTTTGACGGTTGAAAAAAAAGTTAAAAGTTGGTTTTGTTTGAAGAGTGCGAGTCTCGTTTATTATCAGTAATTCTCGGAATTGTTTACTATAATATTTGTTTAATTAAGAAAAAGAACAAAATAAGATTCGACGATATCTTGTGAAATGAAGGAGAAAAAAAGGAAAATAAAATGAGAAGTTGGAGGTCAGTGCACCTCCGTCTTAACATCCTCGTGCAGAACTAAATCCGATACGGATCGCGTTTAAATATAATATTGCAACGGTCGATTTTAGACTAGAGGTTATTTTTGAACACGATCTAAATATACGTTGGACTATTCCAATTCGAATCGCAGAAACTGTAGACTTTACGGAGTCTGCGGCCCTCAACCTCAAAAGATTATTTTGTGTCAAAGAAAGAAAACCATTAGAAAATGAATACAACTTAAAAAATTACCAAAATTGAGTTCAAAAATTTATATCTCAAGAAGTAAAAGTGATTTTTCAAAACGGACTTTTTCATTGAAAAGTAGATACTTTGATTTATAATTGGTGAAAATTTTATAACGATTTTCCAAGAAATCGATCTTTTCCAAATTTTTTAAGTTACCAGCAATGACGATAAGTTTAAAAATTTATATCATAAGAACTAAAAGTGAAAAAACTTATAATAATTTAATAAAATTTTTAGTTAACGAAAGCATATTTTTAATTCACATTAAAAAAAGTATTCCAGACATTGTCTAAGCACTTTCAAGTAAGTTCACCTTTTATATTCTTTTTCGCTTAATTGCAAAAATAGAATCCGTCAAAATAACAATAATCCTACTTACTTAATTACTTTTCCTTTACCACAATTTTCAATTTTATTAAGATTACAAGTTGAAATATTCAAACGATAACATCACGAGATTCGAAAACCGTGACCTCAACAATTTTTGATAAGATTTTGAAACACCTCGTGTAGTGTAACACAACGTTGTTTAATAAAAATAACAAAAATAAATAAATTTAATAATCGATTATAAAACCACATCCTTTAAATGTGGTTTATTTGTGAATTTCAAACTTATTGGAATGAGTAAAAGGAAATAAAAAATTTTGTAATTAGATAATATTTTTATGAGAAGGGAAATATATGGAGAAATAGATAAATATAATAAGGAAAAGAAAATTGAATAGAAAGCCCGTTTCGTAACCTTTTTGCCTCTCAAACTAGGCTATTACCGGTTGCATCACGATTTTGCCTTGTGAAACGCTTTGTAGGCGTCGAATGCATTTTACAAGGACATCTTTTGCTATTGTCTGAAGTAATATCAACTTATATTATAAATTCTTGAGTTGATATACTTCTTATAACATAAGCTGAAAAATGTTATAATAATTTTTTAACATTTAACAAGTTATTTACAACTTAATAACTCAAATTAACACTTAATCCTTAAGTTGGACTTTGAAATTAAAAATAAAAAAAGATAACAAGGAATCTCCTTAAATGAAATCCTCACACAGTAACACCTCGAGAATTTTCTCATGGCAACACATTTATTTACTCAATTTAGTATTATAACTTTTTCACCAAGCACGGATAATAATTACAAAAAGAAACTAAAATAATTGTTTCGGAAATTGTTTAGAAAGAAAACAATGCATTTGATTTATTTGCTTGTTTAAAGTACTCCTCAAGAACGAAGGACAACGATGTATTTTAAACATTTTAAACAATAAATCGCAGATGATGCAATGAAAAACTTTCAACTTCTTCTATGATCGTTAAAAAAGATGGATTTGTTCCGTTTGATCGTTTTTCAATCGCGTCAACTTGAAATACACACGCCGCGTTCTCGATAAAATTTACCCTCTTCCTCTATTTTAAAACCGTCCCATCCATATCGTTTGTACATAGTGAGTGAGTGGATAAATATAGCTTTGATATATACATTGTGCAAGATTTTACGGGACACGTGCGGGTTTTATCTATATATTTCGATTTTTACAGACAAGGTTTTTATAATGGATTTAAAAACGATTTTTAATGAATTTCAAATAATTATTAAAATTTAAATAAAAAAGATTAAATTTTCATTTATAACGTTTTGAAAAGTTTAAATAATTTATCTAATTATTTTTTGGCTAGAATCCTAATAGTTTATCTCAAGACCTGGTAGCCATAACTATAAAACATCTCCTATTACAAAATCTCTAAATACTATTTAATCATGTTGCTTGGAGCCAAGGTGCTGGAATCGATACTATATAAATATAAACAATTTTCAAGAAATTTCTTAATTTTATATGTTGAGAAATTTTAAATATTATATATTTTTTAAGTGAGGTGAGAGATGACTTTGTTTAAGTCAGACAGGGTTGACTATGAAAAATGTTGTGGAAGGTCAGAAATAGTACTGATAAATATGCTCACTCCATACAATGCTAGTTAACACTGTAATATAATATTATTCTCAAAAAACCGACGTCGCTTGTTGCCGAGGCAGTAGAGTTGATATGATATCGATAGAAATCTGGTTAACACTGCAATAAAGTATCATATATACTCAAAAAGCCGAGATCGCTTGCGGCGAGGCAGTAAAGTTGACATGATATCGACATAAACTAGGTCAACACTGGAATAAAGCATGATATATGTTCAAAATGCTTGCGACCGAGGTGCTAGAGTTGATATAATACCAAAGATGGTCCACACTGGAACAAACCATCATATAACAAACCAGCTTGGTGTAGATATCAAATAAATGATTTTTCATAAATAAATTTAAACTTAAGTCAAAATTTACCACACTTTACATCAATGAAAAAAATGTTTTAATAACACCGAATAATAAAAAATTTATTTAAATTAATCAACTCTCAACGTTTTCTAAAATTGAATTTGTTGAAGAATAAAAGGTTTATGACACCCGAAACGAAAATTGAGTTTGCCAGAAAATATATACAAGGAGCTCAAAATAAAACGTAAAAGTAAATAAAAACGTTTTTTTAAAGGTTTTAAAACTTTATTTTTAGTGCGGATAAGGAAAGTTCAATGCGATTACAAAAAAAAAAGAGTACTAAGTAATTTACATTATCGTCTAGTAATGCGTTATGCAACGAACGAAATTTTCGGAAAACAAAATTTCGTGTAATAATATTTGTATAGGACGAAAAATAAGTGAATTACCAAATTGAGAAGGAAAACAAAAATATTTAACGATAAAAATGAATTGGGTAAACGCAATTTTTAACTGAAAATATTGGTACATAAATCTCACGCTATCATGGTGCCAACGGTTTTTTTTCTTTTAAGTCCACTCCTTAGTTATTATTTAGTCAAAAT